GGTGTAGCTCACTGTCCTCCACAAGTCCCGGGTGTAGCCCATCATCCTCCACAAGTCCGGGTGTAGTCATCATCTCCACAAGTCCCGGGTGTAGCCATCATCCTCCACAAGTCCCGGGTGTAGTCATCATCCTCCACAAGTCCTGGTGTAGTCATCATCCTCCACAGTTCCGGGTGTAGTCATCATCCTCCACAAGTCCTGGGTGTAGCCATCATCCTCCACAAGTCCCGGGTGTACCATCATCCTCCACAAGTCCTGGTGTAGCCATCATCCTCCACAGTTCCGGGTGTAGCCACCACCTCCGCCGTTCCTGGTGTAGTCATCATCCTCCAAGTCCCGGGTGTAGTCATCATCCTCCACAAGTCCCGGGTGTAGTCATCATCCTCCACAAGTCCCGGGTGGTGTAGTCATCATCCTCCACAAGTTCCGGGTGTAGTTACCATCCTCCACAGTTCCTTAGGTGTAGTCACTATCCTTACAAGTCCCTGGTGTAGCCATCATCCTCCACAAGTCCTGGTGTAGCCATCATCCTCCACAAGTCCCGGGTGTAGTCATCATCCTCCCACAAGTCCCGGGTGTAGTCATCATCTCCACAAGTCCCGTGTAGTTGTCATCCCTCCACAAGTCCCGGGTGTAGTCACCATCCTCCACAAGTCCCGGTGTAAGTCATCATCCTCCACACAAGTCCCGGCAGGTGTAGTCATCATCCTCCACAAGTCCCTGGTGTAGTCATCATCCCTCCACAAGTCCCGGGTGTAGTCATCATCCCCCCACAAGTTCCAGGTGTGTCATCTCCAAGTGTTTCTGCTGCCTAAAATCTGGATGCCTCAGTAACTTCCCAGGAGAGTCAGCATGTCCCTCTACCTACCATAACTTTCTCTCCTCTACCACACTCCACATATTTTCTCCTACTATCGATCATTTCTCCTCTCGCTTCTTCCGCTTTCTCCATACACTGTCCTCGCGCATCCTTCCTCCCTTCCCACACTATTCTGACAACACCTTCACCTCTCCCATAACACCTCCACTTCTCCTACAATTCCTCCACCTCTCCCACAACACCTTCACCTCTCCCACAACACCTCCATCTCTCCCATAACACCTCCACCTCTCCCTTAACACCTCCACCTCTCCCACAACACCTCCACCTCTCCCACAACACCTCCCTCTCCCACAACACCTCCACCTCTCCCACAACACCTCCCCTCTCCCACATCACCTCCACCTCCCCCTTAACACCCCTCCACCTTCCTACAGTACCTCCACCTCTCTCCCACAACACCTCCACCTCCCACAAACCTCCACCTCCCCTTAACACATCCACTCTCCTACAGTAGACCTCCACCTCTCCCACAACACCTCCACCTCCCACAACACCTCCACCTCTCCCACAACACCTCCACCTCTCCCACACCTCCACCTCTCCCACAACACCTCCACCTCTCCTACAGTACCTCCACCTCCCACAAGACCTCCACCTCTCCTACAATACCTCCACCTCCCACAACACCTCCCCCTCTCCCACAACACCTCCACCTCTCCCTTAACACTTCCACCTCTCCTACAGTACCTACCTCCTCCCACAACACCTCCACCTCTCCTACAGTACCTCCACCTCTCCCACAACACCTCCACCTCCTCCCACAACACCTCCACCTCTCCCACAACACCTCCACCTCTCCCACAACACCTCCACCTCCCTTAACATCTCCACCTCTCCTACAGTACCTCCACCTCCCACAACAACCTCCACCTCTCCCACAACACCTCCACCTCTCCCCACAACACTCCACCTCTCCCACAACACCTACCTATCCCATAACACCTTCACCTCTCCCCCAACACCTCCACCTCTCCCACAACACCTCCACCCTCTCCTACAGTACCTCCACCTATCCCACAAAAACCACCTCCTGATACTCCTTTCCTCCCTCCCTCCCACCCCTCCCCAGGTAGGTACACGGGAGCCTCACCCTTGTTGCGTCTCCGTGATTAATGACAGTTGTGTTTTGCAAAATTAAAATCGGTCGTAAAAATAGCATTATAGCATACTAATGCACTGAGTAAGAGAGAACACTGCTGCACTCACATGACCTGTAATTACTGGCCATCGGAGTTATGGATATAACAGACACACACACACACACACACACGCTGTATATCATGAATATATAGAGTGTGTGTGTGTATGTGAGAGAACGAGAGAGAAATGTTATTGTAACACACAATTACAAGTTGAACCGCTTACAGCAGAAGAGAGAGAGAGAGAGAGAGAGAGTAACATACAGGTATGTATTACTAACATGAGATATATATAACTGGTACCGGTAGCGGAAGGCTGTCCCGCATTAACGTTATTCTCTGGTCCATTGCCTGATAATTATTGCCAACTCCACAAGAGATTTTTCCGACTGGTGTCATTTCACCGGCTTGTGCCTGTTAATTACGAATTAACTTTGCTGACTTGGATTTTGTTGGAGAGTTTTTGCGGGGCCTCGTTGATGACCCAGCGGGGGGAGACACTTGCTAAATCATTTAGTGCAGTTTTATCCTGTTGGATAAATTGATATCGTTATGTTATTATCTCGTCAGCTGTCTCTCAGGCCAACTGTTAGTGTGGCCAGTCCTCTGTCAGGCTAACTGATAGTGGCCAGCCGTCTGTCAGGCCAACTGATAGTGTGGCCAGTCCTCTGTCAGGCCAACTGATAATAATAATAATAATAATAATTAACGGTTTATTGAAAGAGCTTGGCAGCCAGAAGGCTGAAAATATACAGTTACATATTTGGGGAATGGGTTACGAATTACAAATAATATACAAGTAACATAAGTGACACAAATAAGACATATAATAACTAGATGGGGAAAAGCTCAAACTACAGTTCATTTCAACATAGTGACAGTGCAAGGAGTAGTGTTTACTGGGAGTGAATACACTGATTTATTACAAGTTATTGATAATTTTTACAATGGTTGGGACTGGGCTGTTCTTATAGCGATCAGTTCGTGCACGTATGGGCTGGATGCGGTTGTGGTGTCGAACAGCAATTCTCGGACTAGGGATCTCAGGTGTAGTAGGAGCCGGTGCCGGGATGGTGTAGAAGCTCTTACCAAATTTGCAGATGAGGTCGTGGTGATGGTCAGTGAGATGAAAGGGTCAGTGTGTTGGTTGCTTGATATGTGGAGTAGGGGGAGAGAATAATCTTGCATGCCCTTTTGCACTTTTTCTAGTGTTTACGTTTGTGGCATTTAGAGGAAGACCAGGTGGGGAGGCATAGGTGAGCTTGGGCAGTATGAATGTTGTGTAAACACTGAGGAGCCTGTGCAGGAACCCGAGGGACTTGAGTCGCGGAGGAGGTGGAGACGGAAACGAGGATTTGATAACTTCACTGACGTGTGGTTTCCAATTTAGTTTGTTGTCTATGGTGACGCCGAGGAACTTCGTGGAATCGACAACCTGGAGTGTGTTCGGACCTAGAGTAATGGAAGGAGGTGGGACAATGTCGGAGGAGAGGTTGATGTGCATAACCATGGTCTTGGTATGGTTGATGGGACATGGTTGTTGGGCCCAGTTTGGAGACTGTTCAATAAATCCTGAAGGGCGGTATAGTTGGAGGAATTGTTGACGCTGATCCCAATGGTGGAGTCGTCGACATATTTCCAGCGAGCAGGGTTTCTTAGGGCATCATTGATGAGCATAAGGAAGCAGAGTGGTCCCATCTTGGTGTTTTGGGGACGCCACAGGTGAGTGACTGAAAGGTGGAGACAGCCTCGGAAGCGTACAGCTTAGCGTCGGTCACTGAGGAAGTCTGTGCCATGGTATAAGACTTCTCCAGCCCGAGGTCAATAGCTTTGTTGATGATTATATTGTGGTCGACTAGGTCGAACGCTTTAGTGAAATCATTGAAGGCGACAGCTACAGACGTTGTTCTCGAGATGGCGGTATATGTAATCGAGAAAGCTGACGACAGTGAGTGGTGGAGGAAGTTTTCATGTTGCCAAATTGCTGAGGTCTACGACTCCTGCAATATCAGCATAAGCCCAGTCGAACACAAAACTTTCACAGATTAGGCTGGGTATTGGGGTGATTGCAATAGGTCGTAGCTGATTTAAGGATTGTGGGCTGGTTGACTTGGGCACTGGTGATACATAAGAGGTCTTCCAGTCAGCTGGGCATCTGGCTTGACTGAGAGAAGCATTGATGATGGAGCATAGGGTTTAGTAAGCTCCGGGAAACTCCTTGAAGAGTTTCATTGGTAAGTCAGGGGTGGTAGAGCGTTTTAATTTTAGTTTGTCCAGGCGTTTTGCTACTTCAAATTCTTCTACTAAGTCAGTGGGAAGGGCCAGTATAAGCAGGAGAGTGGTTGTGTCAAGCTTGGGGAGCGCTCTGGCATATAGTAGCGAAATGGTGGCGCCGTCTGTCAGGCCAACTGTTAGTGTGGCCAGTCCTCTGTCAGGCTAATGTAGTGGCAGCCGTCTGTCAGCCAACTGATATGCAGCCGTCTGTCAGGCCAACTGTTAGTATGGCCAGCCGTCTGTCAGGCCAACTGATAGAGTGGCCAGCCGTCTGTCAGGCTAACTGTTAGTATGGCCAGCCGTCTGTCAGCCAACTGATAGAGTGGCCAGCCGTCTGTCAGGCCAACTGTTAGTATGGCCAGCCGTCTGTCAGGCCAACTGTTAGTGTGGCCAGTCCTCTGTCAGGCTAACTGTTAGTGGCCAGCCGTCTGTCAGGCCAACTGTTAGTATGGCCAGCCGTCTGTCAGGCTAACTGTTAGTATGGCCAGCCCTCTGTCAGGCCAAATGTTAGAGCGGCCAGCCTTCTGACTGGCCAACTGTTATAGTGGCCAGCCGTCTGTCAGGCCAACTGATAGAGTGGCCAGCCCTCTGTCAGGCCAACTGTTAGTATGGCCAGCCGTCTGTCAGGCTAACTGTTAGTATGGCCAGCCGTCTGTCAGGCCAACTGATAGAGTGGCCAGCCGTCTGTCAGGCTAACTGTTAGTATGGCCAGCCCTCTGTCAGGCCAACTGTTAGAGTGGCCAGCCCTCTGTCAGGCCAACTGTTAGTATGGCCAGCTTTCTGACAAGCCAACTGTTAGATTGGCCAGCCCTCTGTCAGGCCAACTGTTAGTATGGCCAGCCCTCTGTCATGCCAACTGTTATAGTGGCCAGCCCTCTGTCAGGCCAACTGTTAGAGCGGCCAGCCTTCTGACAGGCAAACTGTTAGTATGGCCAGCCCTCTGTCATGCCAACTGTTATAGTGGCCATCCCTCTGTCAGGCCAACTGTTAGATTGGCCAGCCGTCTGTCATGCCAACTGTTATAGTGGCCAGCCTTTTGACAGGCCAACTGTTAGAGTGGCTAGCTATCAGGCCAATTGTGCCCATACCAACGTCATGCCAGCTATTAGTGTGGCCAGCCCTTTGTCATATCAGCTTTTGGTGTGGCCAGCCCTCTGCAATGCCAATTGTTAGTGTGGCCATCCCAATGTCATGCCAGCTATTAGTGTGGCCATCCCAATGTAATGCCAGCTATTAGTGTGGCCAGCCCTCTGTAATGCCATCTGTTTAGTGTGGCCATCCCAATGTCATGCCAGCTATTAGTGTGGCCATCCCAATGTAATGCCAGCTATTAGTGTGGCCAGCCCTCTGTAATGCCATCTGTTTAGTGTGGCCATCCCAACGTTATGCCAGCTTTTGGTGTGGCCAGCCCTCTGTTATGTCAGCTGTTAGTTTGGCCAAACCCATGAGTGTTAGACCAGCTGTTAGTGTGGCCAGAACTTTGAGTGCTAGACCAGCTGTTAATTTGGCCAGCACTCTGAGTGTTAGATCAGCTGTTAGTGTGGCCAGAACTTTGAGTGTTAGACCAGCTGTTAGTGTGGCCAGAACTTTGAGTGTTAGACCAGCTGTTAGTGTGGCCAGAACTTTGAGTGTTCGACCAGCTGTTAATGTGGCCAGCTCTCTGAGTGTAATACCAGCTGTACGTGTACCCTGTAATAACTGTGTAAAGAGGTGAATTGTAATTAACGTTTTATCGTACATGAGGGAAGACGCACAGCACAATAGAACCTGTTCAAGAATTTATTTTACTAGCCAGCGTGAGTTTATAAACCTTATCTTGACCACACATTGCTCGTGGCTTCTCCTGAAAACAAGAACGAGTTCTGTTGAGTTGACTTGTCCACGGCTCCGCCCACTTCTACTCAATAGACCAATCATATGCGTGCATTGTTTGTTCCTCCCATATAACTAACAAACAAACACCTCCCAAGGCTCTTCATACTCAGCATTATCACAGTGTTTCTGGTCTGCACTACACCTAATAAACAACGTGCATGACCATGCTGAGTTGTGTAGGTAAGGGCAATGCGGATACAGTACACTGTATACTGAGCACACGGTAAGCAGTGGAGCAGCTTGGTCAACACATCATTTGATCGCCATCTTTTTGGTAACTGTAAATTAAGGTACCTATTATCAACTGGAAGGACTGATAGTGCCCAGGGATCGAAAAGCGACCCTTAATAAAGGAAATAAGTACTATATCCACGCGGCCGTCGCACCAAGCTAAAGTCAAGCAAAAGTTGGCAGAGTTGAGTCTTGTTGTGTTGAAGGTGAGAGTGTGGGCAGTGTACACTAGACAACCACAATAAACGTGCACAACAACTTACCTCTTCTTTTTAAAGCAAGTTTTCGTAATTTTAAATGTGAGGAGTGAACCGTGGTGGGTGAGGTGAGGGACCTGCCTCAGGGATCCTTCTCTAACACACACTTTTGCTTTTATGTAATTAAGTCTCAACTATTATATAGGCTTTGATTTTAATGTAGACTTTCCCTATTATGTAAACTCTAAATATCATGTATGGTTGCACTTCCCTTGTCTATAGGGTATGAACATTTTCAATATGTTAAGTAGTTTATCAGCTGACTTAGAAGAAACAGTTATAAACGCAGACACCTTTTCTCTACAGGTACAAGTTACGTTACTGTAAGTTTGTTCAATTCTTTGTTCCTCAAAGTAATTATAACAAAGACAATAGTTCTCATTACTGAGAAATCTTCAACATAACTAATTAATGTTCATTGCATCTCTGGAAACTTTCTCGACAATTTGCAACTTATTTAGAACAATGTAATTAGTTCTCCTCCCTGGCAGTCATCTCAGTTGATTGTTCTTTCAGTATTCCCATGCTTGTTGGGCCGAGTTGTCTCTTTAACCAGACGGCCACCTCGACGCCTGTGGACAACACTCCTCACTTTAGTCAACAATAAGACTTGTGTTTCTTGTTATGGCTCTAGCATCGTGTTTGACAACATTGGTGGAGTTTTTACAATAATATGCCTTTGTTTTATAATTTTCTGTGTTGTGGACACAACTCTCGCTTCCTGTCCCTAGGGTCGTTGGTTCTATCCAGGGGCACTTCCAGTTCACCAAGCTGCAAATGAGTACCTACCTATCTTTACAGTTGGGGAAATGAGAGGGTCGAATACACTGCCTGTCCCACTGCTTCCTTAGTATGTAGTGTGCTGTATCCACTCTTGTTCTTAACCGTTATGCCTCTGCGACCCACTTTAACTTTATTTACCCAAAATCCGTCACAAGACCGAGCTCATCCGTAACACGTGGCCACCTTGTTCTGTAAATCTCAATGTTTTACTACTTAGTCGTATTCATAATTATCTTGACTGCATTTCATCACTGACTTAATTATCCTGCTCTAGTGTGTCTCTTTGTTACTATAACTAATCTAATAGCTTCGTTAACTGTCGGTTATCGTCATTTATCTCAAGTTCCTCAGTTATTTCACTCACTGCACTCACTCTAGTTATTGCCATCACTGACCTACTTGTGTAGTGTTGTTTACATGCTGAGGTGTGTGGTGTCATCTGTCCGGTAATGTCAACTTATATTCACTGTTAGTTCCTGTGGGAGTTATTAAATTATATCTCCTGTTTGTTTATACTGTATATCATAAGTTAGATGACACTAATCCTTTTCCCAAACAATGTTAAGGAAACGTGTTTTATCGTCTTCCTAAGGTCTTACGCTTATTTTTTTCTTGTCATAAAATCATAATTTGTTTAACTCCTCAATATTTTCATCAGAGTAACGTTAAGTTATGTTATCGGGGCTCGTCATCTGGGTGTTGATGATGTTGTTTCCTGTATATATTACTACGCTTCAACAACTAAGGTCTAGACTCAAGAACAGTGGTCTCCAACCTGTAGTTCACGTGGAACAATAATATTGAGCCCGTAATAGTCTAGCGAAATTAGCTCGAAAAAAGGCAAATGGCGGGAAACAATTTATATTAAGATGAAATTTTGCATACATACTCCCTTGGGCTATAGAAATCAAGATCAAAAGAGTTCCCCTCCGCTCGGAGGGATAATCCCCCCTCTTTTGGCCCCAAACGCCCCCTCTTTCATTTTAATACTTTAAATATAATTTTAAACAAGATTATAAATAGGTGTTGCAGTTTTTATATAATCCACGTCTGAATTCGGGGGACTCTTTTCGCGTGTAGTGAAAAAATTGTTACTCGCGTAAGGTTTTCGGCAAATAACTAAAAAACGCCAAGTTTTCAATTAAAAATGCATATAATTGAAATTATCGAGCAGAAAATTCTCTATTCGAATAAATGACAAACAAGTTTTGTAAAAATATTGAAGCTTTTCCTCATTCACTCAAAAAAAAACTACTGTTCCAGGTAAAACTGCTGTGTCACCTGAGTGAAACTACTTGGCATACAACCACTCGCGGATGAGGCTTCACAGAGAGTGTTCCGAATAATTGGATCTTTAGTTTGCCAGTAGCTCACCACGTATATGAGAATGTGGAAGAGATTTGTGAGATTCAAACCAGCAGTAATTTTCAGCATATCGAATTGAGAGACTCGGGAATTAAGAAGGACGAAGAGCATCTTCAGAAGTTTGTTATATGGCTTCAGCAACATTCTCCTCGTTTCGTTGCCCGGTGGTCTGGTTACAACTGAAAACATAAACTGCTACAAAGCTCTACATGTTAACAAGAAATTGAAGGATGAAGCCATTAAAGGCAAAGTCACTTTTGGAGATATGAAGGTAAAGCGCACCAAAAGAGTGAGGCCAATTCTTGCATGAATACAAGTGTCAGCGTCACTGAGGACATCATAGAGGTTGACACCACTCAGTAGAGGAACGAGTAGTTGAATTATCAGGATACAAATATATCACTGATGGAGGGAATTTAATCCACCGTGTAGTTTGGCCAAAACAAGGCACAGTTGCGGACGTTCATGCTTCTTATGTCCAGTTCATTAGAAAAAAATATGATGAAGATGTAACTGTAATATTTGATGGTTATTCAACAAATGAAATTAGTACAAAGAACATCGTGTGTCAAAAGAGACTTTTGAAACGAACTTCAGCTGAAATCTTGTCCGATGAGAATACAGTTCTAACTGTACCTAAGGACAAATTCTTGATTAATCTAAAAAACAAAGAGCGTCTAATTATGCAATTGAAACAGAGATTTGAGAAAGAAGGTATTGAGACATATTGCCACAGATGATGCTGATGTAATAATTGTTCAAAGTGCTATCAATGGATCTTATCAACATAACTCCGTTGTTGTAGTTGGACAGGATGTAGATCTTCTAGCTCTGGTTATTGCTCTTATTTTAGAAGACAAGGATATTATGTTTTTAAACGAAGCTCACGGTAACCTTAGGTCAAGATTTTATATTTCTCGAGATTTACAGCGCTCAAATATTCTAAAGAACTGCAGAGAATCAGTTTTGGTAGTTCATGCTTTAAGTGGCTGCGACACAACGTCCTCACAGTACGGGTTTGGAAAAATGAAAACTATCAATCTCCTGAACAAAGATGATTCTCTGCACGAAATGGTATCAGTTTTCAACAATCCTCAATCCATTCATGATAAAATTGCAGGTGCTGGAAAGCGTTTCATTCTCACTCTGTACAAAGCCCCACACACTGAAACAAATCTCAATCATTACAGATTTCACTCTTTTAACAAATCTGTCAGCCACTCAAATAAAGCTGTGTTATTATCAAGTCTTCCGCCCACTTCTGCAGCAGCTAGGCAACTTTCTTATCGTGTCTTTCACCAAGTTCAGACTTGGCGAGGAGAAACACTTCAGCCTGAGTTGTGGGGCTGGAAAAAAATCCAATTCTCTGTCACCTGTCTACACAACTGAGGCACCAGCCCCCACAAATATTTTGAAACTTATTTCATGTGGCTGCAAACTAGGGCGCGGGAAGTGGTGTGGTTGTGTAAAATCTGGCTTAACCTGTTCTATAATGTGCTGTAATTGTAATGGCCGAAAGTTGTCTGAATTCCGAAACTGCAGATGATCCCACTGATGACCTTATTGTGACTAATGAAGAGGACTTTTCAAATACTTAATGGCATCATCTTTAACTATAAAAACGTAGAATAGACCTAAGGAGGAAGCCACTATAAAAAAAATTATCACCCAAAACTCTACCTCAAAGATGGTGTGGAAATTAGTTTGTGTTACAGATTTATTGAATGAGTCGGAAAAAAAACTTTGAAAACTGTTTCAAGTAAATATATTTCACTGAACCTATAGAGAATTTTACGCTCGACAATTTCAAATATATGCATTTTTAATGAGAAACTAGGCATTTTTTAGTTATTTTCTGAAAACCTTGCGAGAGTATCATTTTTGTCACTCAGCGCAAAAAGTTTCCCCCGAATTTAGACATGATTACACAAAAACTGTAACACTTGTAGGAAAACTGAAAAAAACATCTTGTTTAAAATTTTATTTCCAGTGTTTTTGTATCTATACAATATTATCGTCTGATGCACAGTTAGCCGAAAAATGTGGAAAAGTAGCGGAACCTCCATTGGAGCCAAACAAGGGGGATGATCCCCCAAACGAAGCGGAACTCTTTTGATCTTGATTTCCTTAGCCTTCACGAGTATGAATGCAAATTTCCATCTTAATATAAGGTTTTCCCACCCAAAATCCTAATATGACTGGACTATCAAGGGTTATTAGAAAAATGTGAGAGCCAGCCTTTTCACTGGGGTAAATACACACGTCCTGTCCATGAGGAAATGTAAAAACTATGTAACTGGTAACACTTAGACGTGTAAGACTGCAAATAACTGTACAGTATACATAATATTTTTTTCTTGAATCTAGATGAAAGGTTTTGGCGCTCTCCACTGTATTTACGATGATAAATGTGGCCCAAGCCTACAAGAGGTTGGGGAACACTGCTCTAGAAGCACGGAGACCTACTCAAGGTCAGTTAAGCACTAGATATCCTCAACACCTTTCTTGTCTCCCCATCAAAGTTTACTTTTCAATTTACAGAAATTTTAGTATTTAGCTTCATAAGAGAAGGAATGTCGCTACAGTGGAGACATATTTATAGCTGTAGAGAATGACGATCAGCTTAATATTTCAGTGACGTAACCCGACTTCCGCTTTCAGGCACACCTAACCGTCGTCTTAGACAGAAGTAATGACTGTCTTCAGGAGGTGGCCATAGTTTCATAAAATATATTTAAGGGCGAGTGCAACAATAAACATCACGTGACACATTAAAGGCAACACCTCACCCTGCAGTCCACCATGCTGCTAAGTCTCATAACAAGTCAAGGAACCCTCCCATAGAGCACCTCCCACTCCCTCCTGCTGTAAACATCGTAAAAAAGGGACTAAAAATGAATGTACAGAGTGTCTCGGAAAATGTATACACGTTGAGTTACAGATTTTCGTGGAGATCGAGTAAATGTTTGTATTACAACAATAACAATATCCTCAAGTGTAAGGTCTCCCGCAGGTGATGGTCATGTTGCTCTATTATACAAGCATTCACCCGATAGCTATGAAAATTTGTAAGCAATATATCTACATTTTCTGAAACACCCTGTACATTTTACTTGTTTACTCCCGTCCTCAGAAAGACTTTCAGCGAAACAGAGAGAAGCATCTATGCCATCATTACAATGTCTGTCTGGGAAAACTCCCGCCTCTCGTAGTCTGTCCATCCTTCCAGTTCTGTACAGATGTAATCTGTCCATCTCTTACCAGGTCTGCTACCTGGTCTTTTCCCAACCATTACCAGATAAAAGTTATTTCAAATAATCTTCTTTCATCGTTTCTCTCCTAATGTCTCAACTTTGTTCCTTCTTATTGCCATTATTTCTGCCACTATCAATATGTTTATATCAGTGTTGGTAAATGTTCATGCTTCGTGTTAATGTTGGCACGAGTACAGTGCACCGTTGGAAATAAGTCCTTCAGTGTTGGGGACAAATTATTTACTGTATTTGTTTATTCTTTCAATTATTTAGGGTTAAAAACCTCCCATGGCTGATCATTAGACTATTATTGTGAAGAGATTCTCTGTTCGTGTCCGGCAAATAGCGGCAAATATCATGTATATAGTGCTGTGGTTGGGGATTCTTTATGTTGGTTTATATTCTTATGGTGTTATTCATGTTGGATATGAGTAACAGTGGGGACAGTACGCTACTTTGTTTTACTTTACTGGTTTTATGAAATTATTTGATATTTTTATTACATATGCAAGGGAATATAAGCAATTTTCACTGCTTTTATTAGCTGGGCATTTACTCCATATTCTGACAAGCATTTCCATAATTTGCACCTCGGTAAATAATGAAACTCTCTCAGTAGGTCTACCAAAAGTATTAAAAAAATTACGTCAAATTCCCAAGTCTACATTATTCCATAATTTGTCGAGTTGCAAAGATCATATCCGTCGTTTCTCTATTCACTCGGAAGCCATATTACCATTCTCCTAACTGTAGTTCTATTACATTTTCAGTTCTTCTCTCTAATAGTCTTTCACAGAATTCAGGCACGAGACTAATAAAATATATCACTATAGTTTTTGCATTTCCCTGGGTGAACCTTTTCATAAATATTGGAATATTATCTATGTTGCCCAGTCAGTTGGTATGGTCCCTTCAGTCGTTGGTATTCCTCCATTGCACGTGCCATTTGGAACAGTTCAGTTCGTGCCGTATACTTTATCAACAATACCAATTGTCTTTCCATTACTTACTGTCTTCAGTACTAATTCTTCAGTACTAATAGGGACTCTCTGGAGGTCAGTTATATTAGGCTATTCATGGCCTAAATCTTCCTAGTGTTGTGCATTTAGTAAGTTTTAGAAATAATCAGTTCATTTTTCTTTAAGTTCATTGGGATTCACCATAAGCTCTTCATTCTCATCTTCCACTTCCTGGTGTCATACAATTATTTGGTCTCTTATACAGAATTATATTATTGAGAGTTATCCGGCATAAATTTATCTGATAATTCTTTCCTTGACTCATCTTTGAATTTTCGTTTCAGACGCTGTACACTTCATCGTGCGGCGATGTACAAACACTGTTCTGTTTCTCGTGTTTTCTTACTTAATTAACCATTTCCTCATGTTTGCTCTTCTCTCTAACCACAGTCTTGTTTTATCTATATTTTTCAACTCATTTTCTTTTATCTCCTGGGAGGAGTCTCTCAGGCTCTCGCTGTCTGCAGACTCATTTGTCCTTCATTTTTATATGAATGATTTTACATTTTTTTTATGCCTTTAAGATATATTTAATATTTGGTTCGTAATTTTGGGTTGACTGTCTGTGTTCTTGGCTGACTATTGGAATTAGAGTGTCTGTTCCTCGTATATCTAGGGTTGTCTTGGTGACCACATAAGCTGTTTATAATACACATGATGTTCCTCTTACATCTGTCTATTAGTCTTCCACCCTCTTGGTTCACCACAACATTTTTTCTTCAATTACAGGTATTTCAGCGACATTATCCAGTTCTTCATAATACTGAATTTAAATCTGTTGAGATGGATAGACAGAGAGACCATTTTTTTTCGGTGATTAACACACCCGGGCACAGGTCACTGACCCACATCGGGGCCTGGGGGGAGAAAATGTAATAATAATAATAATAATAATAATACATTAATAATTAAAATAATAAGAACCATATAAATATATATATATATATACACACAAATGCAGGGTCTCAATTGTTTCTCTTACTGTTGACAACACAACATATATATACAGTATATTGCTTCTCACTTGTGATGTTTTATTCTTTCTTTTTAATTTCTTTATGGTTCTTTATTATTATTATTATTATTATTATTATTATTATTATTATTATTATTATTATTATTATTATTATTATTATTATTATTATTATTATTATTAGTTAGTAAGTAGTAGTAGTAGTAGTAGTATATTTTATTTTTTATTTACTGGGCACCCCTACATAGTAATGATTCTATCTCTCAGTAACTGTGAGTGTAATGATTCTATCTCTCAGTAACAATAATAGTAATGATTCTATCTCTCAGTAACTGTGAGTGTAATATTCTATCTCTCAGTAACTGTAGTAATGATTCTATCTCTCAGTAACTTTGAGTGTAACTATTCTATCTCTCAGTAACTGTAATGATTCTGTCTCTCAGAAACTGTGAGTGTAATGATTCTATCTCTCAGTAACTGTAATAGTAATGATTCTATCTCTCAGTAACTGTGAGTGTAATGATTCTATCTCTCAGTAACTGTAATAGTAATGATTCTATCTCTCAGAAACTGTGAGTGCAATGATTCTATCTCTCAGAAACTGTGAGTGCAATGATTCTAACTCTCAGTAACTGTGAGTGTAATGATTGTATCTCTCAGTAACTGTGAGTGCAATGACTCTATCTCTCAGTAACTAGGAGAGAGGATTCTTTTATTTAACAACTTTGCACGTTGTTTCTCCAGAGGTTTAGTTACACTGTTATTCTTGCATTTAACTTTCTTCTTCAACTCCACTAAACCTCACAACATAATCATCTCTTAAATCGTTGTCTGCTTCTTGCCGGTGCCGTGAACCTTCTTGCTGGAGTGTGTA